TCTGCATCAATAAGTAGTATGGTGTCCGTTTCCGGTTTCTCAAACTCGTTCCTCAAGTTGTGGATAGCAAATTCGATTCCACACTTCTGACCTAAGCAGAGTTGGAAATTTTTTCCGAGATTTTTAAGGTCTGATTTTATACATTGGGTGAATGTTTTGCCAATTACTCTTCTCAGAACATCGCCTATACCAATGGGCCGTGCCACTGGATTTTTGTCCAGAGGTATCAGGCGACACGAGTTGTACGTTAGGTTTTTGTGGTGGAGAACTTTACTTGCTATTGTATAGAATAGTTCAGCAAATGTTTTGTAAAGCTCAATGGATGTCTGGTTGAAGTGAGTTAATATCCTTGTCCATTCGCACGCATCTAAACCTGAGAGACCGTGGCTTCCGTGCGTTTTCAGGGTTGATTTTCGAATTGTCTTGACGTTTATTTGTTCGATTATAGAGGGTAGAGGGGTGGTATGGCAATGAGTCTTCACTTACTTCAGTTATATAAATAAGGTTCGCTGCTTTGGCTTGAGGGTGTTTTTCTTTAAAGATACTCAGGACTGTTTTTCCTTCAATGACTTCATTTAGGGGAAGTACTCCTTTTGTTTTCCTGTCTGAAAGGCAGCCAATGGCGGCAGATATTTTGCCTGTACTCATTAGTTTATCGAATTGCTTAACTTCCTCATTTACTTTGGGCTTCTTCTGCTTTGGATGTCTTATTTGGAGAGCTTTCGCGTCAGTAATTATGAAGCGGCTTAGTGTTTTAGAATTTGATCCGTTTGTTTCTGATTTCGTTTTTGGGAGCAGCAGATGTGGGAGAACCCTTGCTGCTTTCCTTGCGAAATTAGAATTTGGTGTTTTTCCTACTAATGACAACAACTGGTGGTTCAGTAGTTCTACGAATTGGAAACCGGGCTTGTTCTTGCTTAGAATTATGACGCCCGGTTTCCAGTTAAAGGAACTTTTATATAGGTCGTTTTTTGTAATTTCAAATTCTTGGTCGATAAGTTTCCAGGGGTCGAAGGGTCTGTAGTGATTACTGGGGGCGATGGACAAGATTGTGTTGCGTTGGGCAGTACGTTTGTTTCAGGTGTTGTCGGTGATGTTTCTCTTTAATTGTGATGGGGGCTGTGCTTGTTGGTTTTTGAGTTATGATGAGGGCTGTGATTGTTGGTCTGTTGGTGGATGTGGGCTCTTTTGCAAAGTTTTCGGGGCTGCATTGTATGCAGGAAAACCCAGCGTAATAAAATTTGCTGCTCTGTAGCCCGCTACATGAGACATGGATGTAAGCTTTGCAAATGACACATCTTATGCCTCCTTTTTCGAGGTGACGTTTGCAAATATGGCAGTGCGTTTGATCGGCCATAATTTGGTAGCGAGGAGGGTAAATTTATGGTGAATATACACAAGTTAGCTGAGCGAGCAATAAACTGAAAATTTTATTACGATAAAAAGAAAAATGAATACTATCTTTACAAAACATATTAGCAGTAATTCTAACGTTTAGATTGGGGGAATTAATTCGTATTTTTGATCATTAAAATGTATTAATAAGGCGACACAAAGAGTTTTTAGAGCACCAAGTTTTGTTTATGAAGTGATTATTTGCAGAGAGGATGGTTTTGGGGATAATTAGCAAGTTTGGTTTAAACTTATGAATTGTCAAATTTATTAAAAGTCTCCAATCATTAGCAAAGTCTGAAACCGTAGATGAGTTATCATTAAATCCGGCTACTATAGTAACACAGTTCAGTTTCTGCGAGGGGTAGCGCGAGACATTAGCGGCAAGGCCGGCTAGCTTTGCACCTCTGTACGAGTGAACTGGCGAAACAAAGAGTTATTTAGAGCATCAAGTTTTCACTGTATTAAGTGATTATTTGCAGAGAGGATGGTTTTGGGGATAATTAGCCCATTTGGGTTAAGCTTACGAATTATCAAATTTATTAAAAGTCTGCAATCATTAGCAAAGTCTGAAACCGTAAATGAGTTATCATAAATCCGGCTACTATAGTAACACAGTTCAGTTTCTGCGAGGGGTAGCGCGAGACAGTAGCGGCAAGGTCGGCTAGCTTTGCACCTCTGTACGAGTGAACCGTGGCTCCGACATCTTTGGGGCTGCAGTACTTGGTCCTTAAGGTTGCTATTACCAGTTTCCTGCTCCACGTGGTTAGCCGTTTCGGCCTGTACTTCGGCACGGACATTCACTAAACAGTGTACAAAAGAGGCAAAACAAGAGAAAGAATAGATTGTAAAATGGATTGTAGAGAAATGGATTTGAACAACAAATAACAAAAAAGAAATGAAAGCGACTACAACCTGGCTTTTCTCGGGTGGAGGTTCCGGCGGGGATGTCCGGGTATAGGGGGAGTATCGCTGCTTAACCAGTTTGTCTCTAAAATCCCGTACCGGGCCTTCTGACAAGCGCACCATTATTAGCCTATCATATCACAGGTAGGATGCGGTACCAAACGAGGAGCAGGTAGGATGCGGTACCAAACGAGGAGCAGAAATAGCTGCGCACTCGTTTCGAAACCTAATTTAACGCGACGACAATCCAAAATGCACTGTTCTTTTAAAACTAGATTTTAAGAATGCCTTTAACTCTTCAAACAGAGAAACAATGCTGAATCCTGTTTTTTCAAATTGCCCCGAATTGTATAATTACACCCATTGCGCATGTGGTAAACCTAGTTACCTTTTTTACGGAAGCTCTGTCATAATGTCAGAAGACGGAACTCAGCAAGGTGATCCTGAAGCCCCACCCCTTTTTGCGGAAACAATTCATACACTAGTCAAACAGTTGGTGTCGAAAATTAACATCTGGTATTTAGATGATGGCAATTTAGCCGACGACTATAAGGTAGTACTCTGGGACCTTAAAAACATTCTGAAATCGGAACAAATTTACGGCCTGAGCTTAAACACTGAGAAGTGTGAACTTTGTTTTTTGGGACCGACTACTAGTACACAGTATAATTCAATTTTAACACAATTTCGAAAAAAACGCCCCAAAATAAAAAATAAAAACGAAAGAAGAACTGCTCATTTTAGGTTCTCCAATCGGCGAACTTTGTCGAAAGGAATTGCTCGACGAAAAAATTAGGGAGCTTGAAAAAATCTAGGATGTCATTGAGAAATTATGGTTTTTACTTCCTGAAAAATTCTAGCATGCCAAAACTCCTCTATTTTTTGCGTACGAGCCCTTGTTTTTTGCAAAATCGAACCAACGGACGTAAAAAGATTCAACATGTTCTAAAACAAATTTAGCTCCCAATGGTTGAACGTCATCCCGTGCAAAAATTTAAGGTTAAAACTGTCGACCCAACAACTCAGAATTGCGATAGGACTTCAATTAGGATCAAAAATATGCGAACGGCATAAAGGTGTGTGCGGAAAAGACGTTACCGAGGATGGTTGGCATGGTCTTTCTTGCCTCAAAAGTGCAGGGAGATTCTCTAGGCATTCAAACCTGAATGCCCTTATAAAGCAGAGTCTATCATCTACTCACATTCCGTCTGTTTTAGAACCACGAAAGGGAAATGGACTTTATCCTCCACGGTCATTATCCTCCAGGCGATATCCTCCACCATTATCCTCCATTTCTCAAACAGGGACTTTTTCCTCCATTTTTATCCCCCAATTTTATGAATTTGGATGTTTTCCTCCAATTAGTAAATTCAGTCAAATTATTAGATTATATCCAATATTTGATCATTTCAGACAATAAATGGAACTTCCTGATCATTCCGCGTACGGGCAGCCCAATTATATGGAACAAGTTGACTTCGGAACATCTGGAGGATAAAGTCCGTTTCCCTTGAGAAACCATGAAATTTGCCATGCTCAACAAAAACCAACGAAATCGAAAACTTCAATTACGATTTGATTGAAATTATTAATTTTTGTTCTTCAATTTCATCGCAGTTTTAATTGTCAGTTAATTTCTCCTACCTGCTTTGTTTTTTTTCCGTTTCATTCTTCTCAATAAATGAAAAAGGCGCTTTTATACTCGGAGGACTTTATCCGCCATGGAGGATATCGCCTGGAGGATAATTACCGTGGAGGATAAAGTCCTGTACCCCCACGACACCTCTACAGTACCGATCAGAAGCGTCCAGACGGTTTGACGCTCGTTCCATGGGCTGATGGTAAGCAGCTCTTGTGGGATGTAACGGTAGTAGACTCCTTAACTCCTTGTAGGATTAATGCCGGGTCTGTTTGTAACCCTGGTATGGCTGCCGCTGAAGCGGAAGAGCGAAAAATTGACAAGTATAAAGATCTTGTAAATGATGGATATCTTTTTCAACCGCTAGCTTTTGAAATTCAGGGCGCGGCCGGCCCCAGCACAGAAGTTTTTTTGAGCAAGCTTTGTAAGAACCTAAGCATATGCACTGAGGAACCCAGAGCAGGCAGCTTTTTAAAACAGAAAATCTCCCTGGCAATACAGATTGCGAACGCCGCTTGCGTACTCGGAACAATAAAGGACAAAATAACTTTCGACGAAATTTTTTACTTGTAACACTTGTATATTATATTATCTCGTGTCGAGTTGCGTGTTCTTATTGAAGAAACGTAACCCGTATCGATTTTAATTGAAAAGGACTTAAACACTTGTCATCTTCTTTTATCATTATCACTTCCATATCTAGAAAGTTCCAAGGATTTTGACTGGAATACATGATGATGGGACTCATGACTGTAACCTCGGTTACTATGATACTTTTGACCTTCTGATTACTTGAAAAAAAATCATATCACATGAAACTTTTTAATAAGATAATCACAACAATTAGGCTAATGATCTATGATACTTTTCACATTCTGATTGTCTTATATATTTATAAAAACAAAAGTGCGTAGAAATAAAAATCAAGTAACGCTGTGTTTATGGCAACCAGAAACAGTATTTATCTAACAGGGCAAGCATGAAGAACTGACAAGAAGTCTGAAATTGTGCGTCTACTTGTTATGAACACAAATTAACGCTAATCTGACGATAACGGTGCATTGTTTAATCGTTTTTGATGTTTCAAGTTTTGTTTCAGATCCCGTGATGTAGCATAATTTAGGTATATAAAATTGGACAGAAATGAAAGCTTTTGTTTTGAGTGCTTTCTGCTTTGTAGCCAGCGCGCTATTCTTTTTCTTTTCATCCAATGAGTATCAAAATCCTCCTTCAAATCAGCAACAGCCGGTTAGCACTAAGATTTTTGGTTGGTCTTCGGACTGGCATTTAATTTTTCTTCTATTTCTTCTGCTTATATCATATGGAATTCATCAAAAGCAAACAAATTGTTTGGTTTTGGACGTATGTTTGATTTCGCTAATGTTAGGCTCTTTTTTCTCATATTCGTTGTTACTGGCATTACATGGCAGTGCTCCACAACTTAGACCTTTATTCTGTTATATCGCTCTGATGTGCGTTTTTCATTTCCTGGAGTTTTTACTTACAGCTATGTTCCATTCACACTCTCTATCAATTTCATCTTTCTTACTCAATCAAAGCAAGGAATATGTCATCGCGTTTGTTGCCAGTGTTTCTGAGTACCTAATTGAAGTGTATTTAATTGAAGATTTAAAAAACATCCAGTCTATTTTTTGGACTGGTCTTACAGTTTGTGTCACCGGAGATTTATTGCGGAAAGCAGCTATGGTTCAAGCAGGTGTCAATTTTACGCATCTACTTCAGTATTCACGGAGGTCGAACCACAAACTTGTAACGGACGGTTTTTATGGAGTAGTTAGACATCCCACGTATACAGGGTGGTGTTTGTTTGCTGTGTCCAGTCAAGTGATGCTCATCAACCCTGTATGCACAGTTCTCTTCACATATGCTGCCTTTGTCTTCTTCTCAGAAAGAGTAGAAGAGGAAGAGCTTCTCTTGATTTCTTTCTTTGGCAAAGAATACATCAAATACAAGAGCCAAGTGCCGTCCGGACTGCCCTTCATCAAGGGCCCTCAGCTAATGAGCAGCTAATTTCTTGAAAATAAATGTTTTATCAATAAATATTGTAGCCTTCAATGGAACAATGTTTTGTGTACAATAGATGTTTTTCATGTTAAGAGTTTTATAATCTATTATCTATCTGTTATCTATCTAACCAGGAAACTGAAGTAGAAAAGAAACATGAAACTCAGGGTCACCTCAGAATTTTTAACCGTTTTTAAAATAAGCAACCCAATAGTGGGATGCTGACAGGGTTCCCCCAGGGGTTGCAAATTTTGCCTCGAATTGTGGCCCCAATCCTCTTAGTTAATGAGATTAGTTAACTCCCAACCCTTTAGTTAGGTAATGTCAGAGTACCCCATTGATTGCAAATATTGCCTCAAATCCTTGTAGTTTTTGAGATATGACGTTTTTTATTAATTCTTTTAAATATCTGTCAGGGTTCCCCAGGGATTACAAATGTTGCGTCCAAAATGTTGCTCTTAGTTTGTTATTTTTTGAAAATGTTCAATGAACTTAGATATAAAAATTGTCACAAAATTTGTAGTTCCCATCTCTATTGTGAAGCTGTCAGGGCATTCTCAGGGGTTGCAATTTTTGCTTCCAAACATGACTGCTCAAATCTTTATATTTTTCGAGACATGATGTTTGTGTGATTTTTTCGAAAAATTTTAAGAAAACTCAAATTCGTTTTTTAAATTCGAAATTCCCAACCCTGTAGGTGGGGGCTGTCAAAGTAGTCTCGGGGAGATACGGATCTTGCCTCCAAATTTTACTGCTCAAATCTTTGTAATTTTCCAGATATGACATTATTTGTAAAAATTTCAAAAAACTTTTCTTAGAACTTAAATTGATTTTTTTTTGAAAATTCCTAGCCCTGTAGTTGGGGATCTGTCGGGGTATTCTTAGGAGTTGCAAATCTTGGGTCCAAAGCTGACTGCTCACTTACTGTTAGCTTCCGAGATGTGACGTTTTTATTTTATTTTGGATTTTTTCAAAGAACTAAGATATTAAAAAAAACTTTAATGGTTAAAAAAATTTTATGGTTTTTCAAAATTTGGATTAAAAATGTTTTTTTTTTCTGTTGGTTTTTCAAAATTTGAATTAAAAAACCTTCAAAAACTTGAAATTATCTACCCTGTAGTTGGGTACTATCATAGTACACTCAAAGGATGCAGATCTTTTTTCTAATATGCTGTTTTTTATCAACTGATTAAATCTTTAAACCTCTTAAACTTTTTTTATGAATTCTTCACCATATCTGCATATTTAAGCTACACTACATGTTTAGATTTGGCTCAAATTTGTTTTTCTTGGTTTGATTTTGATTTTTTTAAAGTTCAGTTCATTTCCTTTGTTAAAAGGAAGGCAAACTCCACTATCGGTTACTCTTTTCTAGCAGTCAGTTGGCTGTTTTTTTTATCGCTGTCGTCTACGCTTGTTAGTTTTTGATTCGATACTTATTTAGCCCTGGCTTTTGTGTTTCTCGATTTTTTCTCTCAAATTGAGCTTCATACGAGATTTGGTTGGAAGTTTTTCCGACACACTGGATTTTTTCTTCCGGTTTTTGTGGAATTTTGTTTTGTATCGCAAGTGTTAAAATTACAAATGGTATTTTCACATTGTAATCCCGAAATCAGTGATGTAAGTTCCAAATTAATTTGAAGTTAAGGAAATATTTTCCCGTTTTATTACGTCACAGTCAGCTGGTTTTGTTGTACATGGGGATTTAAATTCACTTCCGGGGCTCCATTGAGTTTTTGTTTCAGTTGGAAATGCAGTGACTATATTTCGGGTTGATCTTTTTGAGCTGAAATGTCAGATTCGAATGATGCCGGTAACAATGGAGACAATGAAGGGTCAGTGATTAAAAGAGAGAAGACCGAAGATACTGAGAGCAGTGGAGAAGAGTCGGGTGACAATTCATCTGACGAGGAGAGCAATGCTAGCAGTGAAGATGCAGGTAACGCTAATGCTGGAAATGGTTCGCCAGGCGAACCGGAAGCGGACACTGGGATCGAGGAATCAAGCAACCAGATAGGGGATGAAGCCGTGAACCCCCAAGAAGAATCAAACAGTGTCGCTGACCCAAACATGGAATTGGACGATGATAAGATTCCAGAAAATATTGAGGGTTCTAATTTGGCAGATCAGTTGGACGAAAGTCCAGAGTATAACCCAGGTGACAGAGAAGAAGGTGATGGAATTGCGGATCAAGCTGTGACCTCTGCTACTGAAGAACAAGAGCAAGAGTCTTCAGAAGCATCCGACTCGGAGGACGAGCAAGTAGAAAAAACTGAAGAAGAAATCGCCGAAACAGCCAAGGAAATATCAAATGAACAAAAAACAGTAGTTGTAAAAAGTGAAATGTTGAACCAATCGGAAGAAATGCAAAACAGGGAGTCTCCAGAAAACGAAATAAATGATTCTAATCCAGTTGAGAGCTCTGCCGGAAATAAAGCAGAAAATGGCAATGAGTCGACTGAAGAACCATCTGTCGCGGTGAAATCTGAAATAGTCGAAGAGAATGAGGCTTCTGATGATCAGGAGCAAGAAGCTGAAAGCGGAGCCAGTGCCAGTGAAAATGAAGCAAAATCGGAAGAGCCAAAGAGCAAATCAAGGCCGTCGGCTGTTGATATTTTTGGAGAAGATTTGGAGTGCTCTTCGAGCAGTGAGAACGAAGATGAGCCCAAGAAAGAGGCGGTTGTGAATGAATTGCTGAACGATGAAGCGCATGAAGAGAAGGAAGACGAGGAAGCTGAAGAGATGGATACTTCGAAGATTGAAGATGTGGACCAATCAGCGGTGGCGGAAGAGGAACCGGAAGTTCAGGAAGAGACGAGGATCGAAGTTGAGATCCCGAAAGTGTCGGCGGACCTGGGCGAAGATCATTTCTATGTGAAACTGCCCAATTTCCTCAGCGTGGAAACTAGACCCTTCGATCCCATGCTCTACGAGGACGAAATTGACGAAGATGATATTTTAGACGAAGAAGGTCGCTCGAGGCTAAAACTGAAATGCGAGAATACAATTCGATGGCGAAATGTTCCGACCGACGAAGAAGGTAATTTCGAGAAGGAAAGTAACTCTCGATTCGTCAAATGGTCAGACGGAAGTTTGACACTTCATTTGGGAAAAGAAATATTCGATGTGCACAGAATGAAGATGAGCGGAGACTATAACCATCTTTTTGTGCGACAGGGTACGGGGTTGCAAGGAATCGCTGTTTTTCAGAACAAACTAATTTTCAGACCTCATTCTACAGAATCATTCACACATCGAAAAATGACACTCTCTTTAGCGGAGAGAAGTCAGAAGAAACAGCAAATAAAAGTGCTACCAATGGCAGGTAAAGATCCTGAATCGTTACGCAATGAGATGTTGAAAAAAGAGGATGAAAAGTTGAAAGCGAGCTTGAGGCGAGATGCACAGCAGCGTAGAATCAAAGAACGGCAACAGGCCCGCGGTCTGAACAGGTCTTACCTGGATGGGACTGTTTCCGATGATGATGAAAATCCTAATTCCTACAGTGTTCGTAACATTAAAAACCAGTTTGGCAAGCCAGGCCAGAATATATATTCGGATTCTGACGAAGAAAACGAAGAGTCTTCGACTGACGATGAAGACTACGACGGTGATGATGCAAAGTCGACAGTTAGTAAGAAAACGGAAGCGTCGTCTGCGGCTCCGAAACGTGCAAAGCCGACAACATTAGTCAGCTCGGACGAGGAAAGCGACAACGAAAAAGGCGAGAGCTCCAGTTCGAAACCAGCGAAGACGAAATCTAAGAAGAAACCGAGTAAGAAGCGAGCGAAAATCAGCGAGGATGAAGACGAAGATGAAGGGGGTGAGTTTGTGGCGAGTGAGGGGGGTTCGGAAAAGGAGGGGGAGGGGGGCAGTGAAGGAGGGCAGAAAAGTTCCTCGGAGGCCGCCGGAAGTGGGGAGGAAGAAGAAGTCGAAGAAGAAGAAGAGGAAGAAGTCGAGGAGGAGGAGGAGGAAGAAGAGGAAGTTGAGGAACAAGTCCAACAGGAAGAGAGTTGAACAGAGTGCGAACAATCAAATACTTCCATGTTTGCCTCTTCATTAAACACATGTGATGCTCTCCAAATGCATAAGACAGGCGAGTGCATCGAAACGAAGTAAAGATGAGAAATGGTGGTCTATTCTGTGAAGTTTGATTGAATGAATGTCTAGTATTGACAAAGCGTTTTTGGATGCAAAACTAAAATGCTTATTTTAATTTAGTTCTTTCGTTGATTGTTTTGGCAATTTATCTGCAAATTAAAGTTTAAATGTAAATAAACTTGCGAATGTAATTACAATTGCACGAGCAAGTGTCTTGTAATGGGGAACTAGACTTTTTTAACGTATCTTACTTGCTTTTCTTGCTTGCTTTATCCTTGAAGCTTGACTACTTCCAGGTTCGTTCTCGGTCCGGGGTTTGAGTCCGAAGAGGACCTTGTTTTTCTTCAGTGCGTAATTTTTGTTTGTCTTTCTGCTGATCTTTTGGCATAGTAACCAAATCACTGATTTTGTTTTGCTTGTGCTGTACGCAACTTTCATTATAGTTGCAAGTTCAAGTGCTGTTCAATGTAGTTTCTGCGGGGACTTAAACTTGAATATAAAGTTTTATAATCATTTTTCTTCCGACTCTACTTGCGTCTGCTTAAAGATATCGGCTTTGTTTCCTCTTTGTAAGGGTGCATAAACTTTTGTGTCCTTGACAAAACAGTCCGAAATTATAAAATTGTACCAGACATTTTTGTCCCAGACAAAATTGTCCGAAACTGTTTTGCGAATTTTCTTTGATTTGACCTTTTGATTTTTAATGCTTTGTTCTTTTGAGGTTGTTTGATCGTTCTTTAATTAGATTCTATGCATAACAAATAGTCATAGAACAGTCAAAGTGAGACAAAACTTTCAAGAACAATTTGAAACTTAAAAGCGCATTTGGCCGAGGTCTGAAGTTCAAATCTCGGTTCTGACCAAAAATTTTCGTAATTTAGTCAATATTTGAAATCAAAAACCCCAAATTGGGTAAACTAGGGCAAAGTTGAAATGGGTTGACTTGATTGAGCCAAAAGGGAAAAGGATGGGAAAAGCTTGATTACATTGATCATTTTGCCGTTTTCAAAATGGGTCTAGCTCAATTTTGAAAATTTCTGGGAAAAATTTCAACTTAGAAAAATTTATTGAAAATTATTGCTTCGCAATATCAACTTTGGAAAATAAATTGACTTTGAATTATAGTTTGATGTTGCTGCACCCTTTTAGGAAACACAAAAGTTTACTTGGGTCGTAGGCCGCAACTAATTCGGAAAGGTTTTTGTCAAGTTTGACATAAAGAGGTTTTATACAAGTTTGACACAAAGTCAATTTTATAACGTCTGGGGTTTTGACGAGTTCCATTTGCCGCCGAGAGCCGACCAATGCAATTGTCCTCAAAGTATTTGAAGATTGGGTGGGCTGTCTCAGGGCATGTCTCCTGAAGAGTTTCAAAAGTAGTAGAAACATCACTTAGAGGCTGGAAAGCGATACTCAGCAGCATTCGGACATGCTCGTGGAATTCTAGATCTAGTCTGTAGTTGTTTGTATTCCCAGTAGACTGAATGTGACGCCAGACGCTTTGGCTCAAATGGAAATAGCAGTTTTGAAATATCTGCTCAAAAGGCGAAAATACGTTTCTTCTTTCTTGTCTGGGAGCAATGCAGACACAATAGGAATCAGAATTCCCTCGACTGATGCGTGGATGGTATATATTTGAAAGAACACACTAAGTTATGTTCCGTTGCTGATTCAATTTTCAAATAAATGGCTTGTTTGCCTAGAATGAATTTCTATCGAGACATGAAAAATTAAATTTTGTTATTTAGCCGTGACCAAGTTTGCAACTTTTTAAATTTTTCTGTGTGTTGTATCGCAAGTGATGCGAAACTCCGCTTCGCCTTTGTTTTATAGTTTTCCAAGCTGCAACAGAAGTAATAATTTTCCAAGCTGCAACAGAAGTAATAATTTTCCAAGCTGTAACATGGCAAACATTGTTTTGCACAGATACCATTTCTCTTTAATCCTGGTTGCTATTCATTCATTTTTTCTTTTCCAGATAAAAATTGACTAGCACCATCTTACAAATTATCTTTGAGTCGATCAGCTGCACATCTGCAGTTAAACATCGTTTGTGAGTATGGAGAATGAAGACATTGTTGAGTATGAAGATGACGATGATTTTGAAGACATTGAAGACGAGGGTGACTCATCGTTGTTGAAGCTGAAGGAGGGCGCGAGGAAGAAAAAGGGGAGGGGCTTGGACGACTCGGCTGCAGGTGCGGGGGAGAAGAGAACAGCAGATGATTACGACGAGTTGGACGATGATGATGCTGCCACCCACGTATCTCTCAGTGGACCCGGTATGAATAGCTTATGAGATTATACGATATGGTTATACTCCAAACAGTCAACCTGATCGACGCCAAATATTGACGATTTTGTCCTGCTTTTTAATGCCTTATTCTTATTGGTTGAGTTGTTTGAGACGCGAGTTTTGGTCACGTGTACTTTAACATGTTATGAGCATTTTAGGTATGCTTCTGAACACCCTAATAAGTGCGTAGGAACTGCTACTGTTTAGAATCCACTCTTTTTGATTTCCTCGCAAGTTCTTTGTTGCATCTGGAAGTATTAATTTGTTGATGGTACAGCCAATTTTCGTAGAAAATTAGTCTTATCGTCAGTGTTTTTCTTTCAGTGTTTTTGTTTTTGATTTGTTTTCTTTCTTGTCACATCTGCCTGTATCTCTCGTCTTGACTTCTCTTCCGGATAAACCATCGCCATAAGAAGAAGATCCGCTTCTTAGATAATTCTGGTGTCAAATAGTTTTGTTTTGCTAGTTCCCAGCTTGTAGGTGACGTCATCAGTTGTGACATCACCATATCGCATGTCAGGGGTCCTGAACTTTAATTAAGCTTATTTTTTCTGATGCGTGTTTAACTCAAGATTTAATCCACTTGGTTTTGAAGGTAGATTGTAGCCTAGTGACTACTTCCAACTAAATCATATAACATACAACTTTACTCTAAATCACGTTAGTAATTACCCATTCGATAAACAAGGGTGTTCAAATTTTGCATCACGCATCTCATGAAAGTTCAATGTATTCACTGATGCAGGGGCTTAAGCTTATGTATGTTTATCTTGTTAATCCAAATTTGGAAATGGCGCGAAAAAACAGGACCTATTTTTTCGCACCTGGATTTTCGTTGGTTGATTTTGTCACCCAGTGAAGATTATGGAAATTCGAAGAGCTGTCAGGTCAATTGTTCTTTTTGAAGCTCGAAAGTTAAGAAACTTTCAGTAATTGTTAATCATTTTTGCGTTCATTGACTTTTTTTCCAACTGTCTGCAGGTATCACTTGTTGACTGGTTTTTTATCTAGTACAAAAGGGAATTTTTCAACGAGGAATTAATTTAAATTTTCCGTGCTTTCCGCTAATTTTCTAAACCAAGAATTCTGTTGTGGTAATTGTTATTCAATATCCGGGTATTCTGGGTTTATATGTTGATTTGATTAAAATGGCAAATTTCTTACAACAAGTGTAAGAAATTTTTGAACCTTTTATCAAAAATTTTATAAATATTTGCAGGTCTCATTGGTAAGTTTCTTCATAGTCTCTGACACTTTCTTGTTTTATAAGCTCCTGGCATTTCTTTCTTTTCAATGGTTCAATGTTCCTTTTTTATTAGGGGCGCCTCAAAAGTCAGTGGAAGGCTGGATTGTGTTCGTAGCTGGGATCCACGCAGAGGCAACAGAAGAAGATGTGAAAGATATGTTTGCAGACTACGGAGACATTAAGAACATCCAGGTTCCTCTGGACAGGAGAACCGGATACCTCAAAGGATACGCTCTTGTTGAGTTTGAACGTGCAAAAGAGGCCAAAACGGCACTGGAGGCTTTAAACGGAGCCGATCTTTTGAGCCAGGAAATCAGCGTCGACTGGGCGTTTGTGAAGAGCAATAAAACACAAAAGTCGAGGCGCAGCAGAAACGCCGGCAGATCGAGAAGCCCACTTGGCAGAAAGAGATGAGAGCCGAAAAAAGAAGAAAATATAAATTGATGAACTACTTTTAGTTTTCATTTGATGTCTCGTATGTTTTTTTTGGTATACCAAATTCCTTTTGTGTTGATTGTTTTTAATATCGTTTCTGGTAAATTGAATTTTTGATACCACAGGTATCTTTTTTAAACAAAAGTAGTGGATGATTGATGTTTTAAAAGGCCAGAAAGAAAACAATTAGAATAATATTTCACTTTTTAAAGTCTGGTGAGAAGTGGAAAAGACAAGAAGAAAGTATAATTCATGTGAATTACTTGATATGAAATTGCACCAAAGCGAATCATAGAATGAACTTAACGAACGACTTATCGAACGATACATGCTAATCATTCGCTTTTTTCGGAGTGCAAAGAGAAAACCGATCGGCTTGAGTTATGCACAATTATGCCCCCCCCCCCCCCCCCATAGCTGGCACAATTTTGCACTCTTTTTACCTGGTCAATTTCTTGGGCGATCAAGGTAGTAGCACGGGTTATCCTCTTTAGTAGAGCGCATGGTTTTGATTGCTAGATGATATGTTAACTCTATGAGGCAGCTTGAAAAGTTGGCGCAGTCAAGAAGACAAATGATAATTCCAAGGTCGAATTGCGTAGTTCATTTTTTTGCAAATTTCTGTGAAGTGCAGCGTCGACTATGGTAACCTTTGATAGTATCTGGCGCTTTGTTATTTCTAAAGTTGTACTTTCGCCTTTGTATTTTTTGTGTTATTAACTTAAATGATTATTTTTTCGGCTGAATTCAGTTGCAATTCTGTCAGTTTAATGGTCAGAAACTGGAAAATGGAAAGCGATTATGCAATTATTCAGTTTTTGGCCGAGAAAACTGCTTTCAAAATAGCTAATTTATTCCGTTATAGGTGTGATCTATGATAATGAATTTATGAAATTCTTATATTATTTGCACTGACTGCTTCAAACATATATGCGGCAATAAGTCAGTGATAATTTTAATTGCACCGTGTGGATATTAGTTTATTTCTGTACGAAAAATCATTGCTGAAGAAGCATTCCTTGAGTGTAGTATGAAGTCTTTTGAAAGTAGTTTTCATTTAATCTACGAAATGAGTTGAAAAAACCATCAAATGAGTTGTAAAAACGGAACGAAACAAGTCAGAAGTAATAAACATATCTGATAATCACCCGATTCCGGTTGAGGGGAACTCAAACCGAGGAGAGATGGGCTTAAATAAAATTTCGACAAAAAACCTCCCATTTAACCTTCTCTCTCTCATTTTTGAATTTGCCTGAGAAAGTCTGTTGTCTTGTTTTCTTTCAGACTAACTATGACGATATATTGTGATTGACAGCTGCCATAGATGTCAGAATGTCTATTTTCACCCCTGTCAATCAGAAGAGACTCACCAATGTGGCAGTGGTGCGCATGAAGAGTCACGGGAAGCGCTTCGAGATCGCATGCTACCAGAATAAAGTAAGTTCACATCGCGGGCGGGCATCCATGACTACTTAACCTGCAAATTGAATGGTTCTGTACGGACAACCCTTTAGGATCGGGTTTAAAATTTGAATGATGACCTCCAACGTGTGGTAGTTGTAACATTCAAATCGGGTCTTATGCACTAAACGGCCCAAAATCATTATTTCTGCATCTCTTTAATTGAAATTAATGTTGTTGAATTTGATTGGCTAAGTAGCCAATCAAGTTCCATCGACATTTTCTGCCATTTCAAATGAAATAATTCTGCTTGAAATGGATAAAATTATTAGCCGAAATGATACTTAAAAAAATTGAATTTTTGGTTTTTCAAGTCATGTTTTAAAGTTTTCCTTGTCTGGGCAAGGTTTCACAAGTAACTCAAAATTAATTTGATTATTTTACAAATTTCCATCTTTTCGAAAATTTCGGCTAATAATTTTATCTGCTGGAAAGATTAATCAGAATGCCTGACCGTCTAACTTAAATTTGATTGGCTAAAATTACCCAATCAAATTCGATCGCATAATTTCCAGCTTACGATGTAGAAATTTTGATTTTGGGCCGTTTAGTGCATAAGATCCTTCAAATCTTCTGAAAAATTTAGTTTTATGAATCACAAAAGTTATGGTTTTTTTCGATAATTGTTAGGTTTTGAATTGGCGCGCTGGAACAGAGACAGACATTGATGAAGTGCTGCAGACGCCAACTGTGTTCGCAAATGTGGGCAAGGGACAACTGGCCTCAAGCGAAGATGTGAAGAGAGCATTCGGCACTGAGGAGCAGCTGGAGGCGTGCAAACTCATCCTTCACAAGGGAGAACTTCAGGTGGTTATATGTTACAATAGGTGGTATTTGTGAGTATATATTACAATAGGTGGTAATATTGAGTGTAGTGCAAATCTTCAATTTGAGAACTATTGTGCATAATATAGTCATTTCATTTTCAATCAACTGTACAATTGATGCTAAAATAAGTTTTTGAAAATAAATTATTCTGTCAGATGAAATGTTATTCAAAAGTTCAAGGTTTACACTTCTGTTGCCAAAAACTTTGGCTTTTAAAATAAATTATAGATACAATTCGGATTCAACAAAGCGCGATCCGTCTATTTAACAAGAAGCTGCCACCTGTTGTAATAGGTTTTTACTTTTTTGAACGTTCACACGATAACCCTCGTGCAAATTCGTAATTTCTCATTATATGAAAAATTGCTAGAAGAAAGAGAAACTAGTAATTCACTCGAGTATTTTTTTTTGATTTTCGAAAGCTTTTCAAGAGTAATGAACGTTGCGGGTACTCTTATATAGGTCTTGGTGATCTTTTTTCAGGAGAAAGTTTTAAAATTTGTTCATGCTTAATTTTGATTTCGCGGTTTGCCTTTTGATTTTTTTAAATTTCAATTCATTTCCTTTCTCGTGTAAAGGTCACAAAAAAACGTGATCGACTTCTAATTTCGAAATTGGATTTTAATTTTCACATTTTCCAGCTGAGTTAGAAATTTACTTATTGATACAGTTTTCTCAAATTGGGTTAAATTTATCAAAAAATGGTCAAAGTGAAATTCAAAGAGCTTTAAGGGCATATATTTTTTCTTTCAAATTGACAAGTCAGTTTTTCTTTTGTTTCCTTGCGTTCATTACTGTCATTTGGCTATGTTCAGATTCATATAAAGTAAGTGCGTTACAAATAAATGTAAACTACAATGTTGAAATAGCGAATGTTCTTTACTGACCTATGTTTGAAGGTGAGTGAGCGAGAACGACAAGTGACACTAGACAGTAAGTTCCACGAGATAGTGCAGTTGGTGACGGAGAAGACAGTGAACCCCGAGACCCAGAGACCCTACCCTATCGCCTCCATAGAACAGGCCCTGCGAGACGCCCACTTCGCCATCAAGAACCACAGGAACTCCAAACAACAGGCCCTCGAAGCTATCAAACTACTAAAAGGTGTGTTTGTTTTTTTTCCACCTTTTTCCTTTATACTCCCCCCCCCCCCAAGTAGTTTTATAATCAATAAAATGATGTCCCTATCGCTGCTTAGAGAGGACTAGTTTGCTAGGGGCTATAATGGAAAACGCTTTTTTTATCAAAGCAAATTGATTTGTAAAAGCTTAAACCAGCATTAGTTGTCTTAATTGTTAAGGGAGCTTACAGGAAGACTATAGCGAAACTGGTTAAAACAAGACTGAAACTTAAATTAAATTAGAGTTATCAGAAACCTGGAATAATGTATCATGAGTCCTGGAATCAAAAACTTGGAATAATGAATCACTCTAATTCGACAAAGTTTCAGAAACAATTCCGATCCAAAAAGCTCAGATGAAGATGCGAGTTGAGTGTAATGCCAAATTCTACAAACAGGTGCTAGCTGATCTGAAGGCTCTGAACAGCACCGAGGCTACCAACCCAGGTTCTAACTCGGGTGGGGCTAGTCAAAAGTCAGGAAAACAAAACAAAAAGTCGAAAAACAAACAGCAAAATGAAAACGAAGAAGCTACGAGTAGCAGTTCAGCCAATCATAGTTCGACAGAAAAGCAACCAGTCAGCAGTGGGGACGGCGGCTTAGTCGTAGAGAGTGACGAAGTTAACGGAACTGAATGTGAAATCATTTTACTGATTGACCCCGGGTTGATTAAGAAAGTGCAAGAAACTGTTTTGAGTGTCTGTAAAGGTCAAGCTTCTTGTGATGTTTTATCATTGAAAGAAACGGTTGAAGGTGACGAAATTATCAGCTAACTTTTTCTATTCCAATAAATTATTTTCAATCCATTGTTATAGCGAAACGTAATCAATGCTTTTTGGATCATTTGAAGGTACATATACTGGATCTAGATTTTTGCGAGGGAGAAGTTGCTTTTTTAGAGAACATGAACAACTTCGAGACTACTCCCCACTTAGCCTACAGCTAACGCGGTTGCAGTCAACATTTTTCATCGTAGACGCAAGTGTTTTTGATTCACTCCTGTAATTTTTAAAAATTATTAGCCCTGATGATGTAATTTTTTTTCGCGTAAAAGCTTTATTTGGCCCAAACGTTTTTGGCTCAAGTTTTATCGGTTTGGTTACTTTATTTTGTGTCACTTCAAAAGCCAAAAATTAATTAACTTTTTTAAAAAATTTTGGTGGTTTGTGTTGCAGCATTTCAAAATTTTAAAACTGAATTGCTCAAAATTTTTTAATGAAAACCATGGGCGTCTACACTTAATATCGGTTTTGTGGTTTTCGGTATATACTAAAAGCTTACTTAAAACTTTTGGCTGTGGTTTTACTGTTTCTCTGAAATTATTTTCATTTCTCCCAATTTTTTTTGGTTCAAAAGAAGGTTTAGTTGAATAGGCTTAAATCGCAGTAGATTACCACACAATTAAGTACTTTTACATTTATATCAGGGACACTGTACGGGTTTAAACAGCCCCATACAGGTGTGGTTTTTAGAAATTAACTTAAATTAAGTTGAAATGGTCTCTTAGCTACAACACATGGGTTTGAAACGTTATGATCAAATGAACATATCAATCAATTCTAAACTATGAGTGAAATAGTTTACCTTTAAGACGAATAAACCAATTTGTTCTTTGTCGGGCTAAATTGAATTTTTCGTTAATTTTGACCTGTGAAAAGGGGCTGGTATTATTTTACGTGCGTTTCATTGATTATTGTTCCGACTTTCGATACGAAAGTAACGGAATATTTGTGCTCGGGTGGGTTTTTTTTTTCTTCAGACAAATTTCGACTTTTTAACTAGCCTTTTTTGACGGAATTTTTTATTATCATTCAAAAGGTATTGTTGTCCTGAGCTTGAATTTGAAAAGATATTTCACCTGTGATCATTTTTCGTAAAGTTATGAGGGTTTAAAGGTTGCCATTTTGACCAATTTGGGACAATTAACGCGCGATATAATTCGAGCTATTAACGCGTAAATATACTTCTCCTTTTTAATACTCCTTTTTAATACACTAAAGTTGGAGTGCCTTAATAAGAACACAGAGCTCGTCATAATTGTTTGGCAAGGATTGTCCGTTTTAAAAGGGAAGATCAGCCATAGTATGTATCTAAGTTAGAAGCCATTTCAAATTTCAGTCAAGTTCTCTGTCAAGTTTGAAAGTTGAACCTTTAAAAAATTATCTTTTATATCCTTGAGTTTTTCGACACTTTTCCAATTGTCTAGTTAATAGGATGGCTTAGTTAGAACGATCACGCAATCAAATTCGTGACTGTTCAAAAAAACGGATATATCAACTTTTATCAAAGGGTTCAATTTCATATTTTGTCGTTTTGATTTTTGATTTTTTTCTAGTTCTTTTCTGATTTTTTGAGTGCAAATTCTTTCTCCAATACCAATCCGTTCTCTAATACCAACGTGCAATTTGCGGGGAATTTCGACCTCTGCTTTTGGTTTCAAAAGTGAATGCCAGTAATTCGATTTTCCAGTATAAAAACACTAAATCAAAGTTTTCTCTAAATCCAATCATTTTTAAAACTTTGAAGAGGTTTCAAGGGGATGTAATATGGTGTGAGAAATGAAAGTTGTTGCAAGAATTGTTGTTTTTATTTTGGTTGCGTTAACGTTTTTTTCTGCTTTTGGGATTTAACTTTAATTTCAAATAAGTGACAACCGTTATTCATTGCAGAAAATCGGGGAAAAAAACGATAATTCTTTTTCAAATGGACATTTTTACAAGGAATTACCAAAGGAACTTCTATCATTCAACTTCTTTTTAAATACCGTTGAAAATAAATTTGTGAGAATTTTTAAAATTGATTTTTGTTTCCATTTAGATTTTTAAATAGTCATTTTCAAAATGAGTGCATAGAATGCATTCAGCTTGGAGTTCGATTTTGTCTCATTTCTTTTTTGACTCCATAGTCGAGTTGGTTCCAGATTTGCTAGTTTTCTCTCATCGTCTTCATGATCCAATCATAACTGTGGGGCACATTTGCAAAGAAGCTTCCTTCAGTGCACTTCAAATACGGGGGATCGAAATAATTTCTGCTGAAAAAACTGGCCACACCTAGAATAAGCACAAAATTAAATGGTTACTAAAGGAAGAGAAGCAAAAACGGGTCACAGAAATTCGAAAACGGGTCAAAGTCAAGTTGAAAATGGCCGAAGAAACGAGTTGAAATTCAGCAAATGACATATCAACTTGATTTTATTACTTGAAATGAGTGTACCATTTTCAAAAATTGAGTGTACCTTCCCGTAACCTTCATTTTACGCTGCAACTTCTGATTTTACTAGAATGCAATATGGACCAGTTATTATAAGATTATAAAATTAGTCCATGTGCAAAGGTTCGTTACAACCGGTCGAAACGAACCAACGTTTCTCTTTGAGCAATCTAAGGGCGGGGAAGGAAAAAGAGCAAAAGCAAAATAAGAGAACGATCGTAGCGTACCTAACAAGCAATCTCCGTGTTTTGTGTCACAACTACTAGTGTAGAGTGGACTCCCGTCATCCTGGAAGCAAATGTTAGTTCCTTTAGTGATGGGATCCACGCAGATGAGGTACGGTGGACAAAAATCAGTCTGCCAAATGTTCGAGTACAAGAACTTGGACTCGTAAAAATTGGCTTCCACCAGGGTTGCAGGGAATGTTCTGCTCTTCTCCATTTTCTTATCACTCTAATTTTCTTTCTGACGATGAAACTACACTTTTTGTGAATAAATTGCAAAATATTTTTTAGTTTTTTGGATACCAGAAATCACTCCTGATTGAAGTACTAGAATACTTTGAGATTTTCCGTTCCGCCCCCAGAGCCCAGAGAATTTTTGTTATCCACGAGGAAACATTCCGAAATTGAAATTATACTCCAAGTAACTCTATAGAACAATCAACCGTTTTTCTCGACACAATGATTTCAACTGATTGTTAAGTGCAATTTTTAGGTCAGCAAACTGAATTTGTGGAGCTTTTAGACCAAAGAATGGTCGCAGACATTTTTTTGAAAATAAATTGCTTTTTGAGCAGTTTTGGAAGAAATAGGCCTAAAAAGTTTTTTGTGTAACTGAACGTAGCTAAGATTTGTACATAGATCGTGGTGATTTTTTTGGTTGTTTTATTCAGTTAAAAGTCTCAAGAATTGCTCGTGCTTAATTTTTTTTTTGCCCTTTGGTTTTCGATTTCTTTTCAAGTTTATTTCTTTTTTTGTTGAAAGGAAGTCAAACTCCACTATTGAACAGCAAAAATAAAAAGGTCAAGACAAACGTGGGTAACTTTAAGTTTCCAACGCTGATTTTAATGGTCAGATTTCCAGCAAAAATTTTAAATTTTTTATATTGATCCAGCTTCCTCAAATCGGGCTAAATTTATCGAAAAATGCCAATCAGAAACTCTTCTTGAAATCCAACGAGCTTTAAGGGCATGTATTTTTATCTTAGAAATTCGAAAGTTCAGAAAACAAGTCAGTTTTTTAGTTTTTTGTCTGTTTATTTGAGTTCATTGGCACTTTTAACTGTCTGTTGGCTTTGTTTTTTTTTATTGGAGGGTCCTCCTCTTTCAAAATTAATAGAAATTGACGCTAAATGAGCATTTAGAACTTTTTACGGTCGGTAAATAGCACTCGTACAGTAGTACTAAAGGTGGCTTTTATTGTGTTAGGAAGCTCATTTCGACAGAGCAACGCCATATCTAATTTTTCAATGTTAAGCTGTGAGGAGGGAGAGGAAAATGGAGAAGATTGAGTCCTGAATTTGGTAGAAGTGACTCCTAGTCCACTCATGCGCACATGTGTTCCATGATCCACTTCACTCCTGCATATTTTAATGATCCTATCATGCGAGACAGGCTCCGCTTGGAAGGCATCAAATAATTTCTACAATTTTCAATCTCAGTTTTCGCTCCAACCACCAAAAGTGTAGAGCAACTTTGAATTCAGGTGTTTTTCACACAAATTCAGGTGCAACAAGTCAGCATCAGATTGCGTGTCGAATGGTATTTCTAATTAAAGCCATCTCAAAAAATCAGCCTTTTAATCAATCATTTGTATTATTTTCAAGGAAAAATTGATCTTCATTGAAATGAAGTTTTCAGGCTCCTCTGAGTTTTTCAGACTTTTCATAAAAGCAAAAACGAAGACCAGCTTTTCTGTACACTTATGGAATTATTTTTTGAAATTCTTTCAACCACTCAAATCACGACTGAATTTTTTTTATTATCGAACCTCACTTGACCCACCCCCCGTGTAAGCGTTGAAGCTTTCTTTGAAATAACTTGTCCAGTTGAGAGCAGTTGGAACAACAAGATTGGTCGATTGCTCTGCACAAGGCACAGAATCTTCCAGTTACAGTTTGCAGAAAAATTTATCCTTTTTTTCGGTTTTCGAAATTTCATTGTTTTTCGGGTAGTAAAAAAACTTTACTAGCTTAATACAAAATACCGGTGGCTTTAGAATGATTGCTTAAACGTATGATTAGAATAGCGTACCAATTTAAGAGTGAAAGAGGTCAAACTGAAATTGGTTAGAAAAGTTCTTCGCTCTACAGATTTAATTCTTACAGCAATGCTCAGAACAAGCTTTTCTTTCAGTTCTGTTCATATTTGAAACAAGTTTTTGCCAGTTTGACTGAAATAAAGAAATCGAAACAAATTTTTTTTTTTTTTTTTAATTTTCTCCATTTTTTTCTCAAGAATTTTCTCTTTGAATAAAGAAACAGTCTGATATAGTTCTAAAAGGCCGTGGAATGAAGATCAGACTGGCCAAAATATAGTAAAAGTACTCTAGTGAAAGTAAATTGTGGATATTCAGCCTCTTAGCAAGTTTCGTCTACATTATCTGAAAACGAAAAAGTTTTTCTCGTCACTGATTGAAATTTTTTGAAATTGTTTTTGGAATCAGAATCACGACCATTAGAGCGTTAATTGGCAGTTGGGAAAAACTGATAGTTCAGGCATGCATTAGCAATATTCCAGCTTCTGATTCGAAACCATCTGGTTGGTTTATTATTTGTTATGTTTGAGCTAAAGTTTTTTTGTTTTCGTTTTTTAAATGGTCATTTAGGAACATTTTGTTCTTCTTGAATGGAAGGAAAGCAGCACTAAATGGGAATTTCTGGTCGGACTAAAACTTTTTTGCAAAGAAAGCTTCGACGCTTGGTTCATAGAACTCTGCAGAAACTATGATATGTCTTCGACATCAGTGGTTTAACTTGAACCAAATGGGTTCACTGGTCTCTGTGTTTCGTTCGTGTTGCCCCAAAAGGCTGTAGCTGATGATAAAAAAGATAGATTCAATTATTTGATGCCTAGTTTGACTAGTGCGATGTCGTTGCGAGGATGGTTTCCATACTGGTTGAACCTAAACAGTTCATTTTTCAAAATCCTTTAAAAAGGTGCAGCATGCGTGGAACTGATTGCACTATTAGGGCCTTTACTACTATTACATTGCCCGATTATTTAGCCGAATAATCAGATATCCAATTTTCAGAATCGTAAACCAGGTAGTTGTGTAGTAATGTGACTTCTAAACTCTAATATCAGAAATCGGCCTCGGCCTAAAATGCCTTTAGACTTTCCGACTTGATGATTTTTACGTCAGTAGCAGATTTGGGGGCGGGGGAGGGGCAGCCTTCGGGGGAGCGCGCCAAAGAACTCGTTTTTGTGCAATAATTTCCCTGCTGCGCAGAAAATATTGTCAAATTAGGCTCTATATAGTCATTTGCGAGAGCTCAAAAAATCAAATTGTTCGACCTAAAAAAAGGTAGACAAAGTTTTCGAACTGTTTTGTGAAATTCCCCCTCTCGCGAGGAAATCCTAGATCCCTCCCCCCACGTTATAGTATCACGGCTTACGTTATCGTATCACCTCTATCGGATTCCGATGTTCTTATCAACGACAATTTTTAATAGTTTGGCATGCACTCAATTTTCCGATGGAACGTTCAGCTGAATGTTGTGCCAATTAATTGGGCTTTAACATTGCTTTTTTTGATCTCCATTCATCAGCAAATGAATAAGTTTGTCGGTCCAAGTGATTGAGAAAGAAACAAGCAGTTTTACTCACCCTTCTGCCAAGAACACTTCTGAGTGAGGAATTGATCTGCGATAACCTCCGTCTGATGAAAAATCACCCACACAAATCTCGAAATTCGTGACTAAAACAAGCAGAGCTTCAGATCAAGTTAACATAAACGCTCCACTTTTTTTTTAAAAAAAATTGCATATCCAGAAATCTAACTAAAAAATGCTCATTCGGAAATCTCGGTTGTATCGGTTTTATGTGGTTTTGAAGTTATTGTCGGTTTGTAGTTGTCGTTTGGTGCATTTAAGGAATCTAACATGGGCAACTTTGTTTTTCGATATCTTATTTCGACAAACATATAAATGTATGTTTTTTTTCGACAGCTTTGATTTTTGAAAATCAATTCGGTGACTTCCATGTTTGTTTGCTAGTATGATATCGGCTTTGTGTTTGTCTTGGAGTATTAAGCCTTTTGAGCCTTTTATTGAATAATTTTAAGACCAGTGGTTTCATGTGAAATATGGATATTTTGATAACCCACAAATTCGAGAAATTTGGATTGTATCAGGTTCAAATTTAGAATACTTGAGTTTGATTTAACTTGCCTCCATTAATTTTATTGCAAAAATTGTGCACTACCCTCTCCTCCCCTTCACATCTGGACAAACCATTTCCACCAAAGGGTTCTCACATTTAGCTAACTCGTACTATACTGATTTTTGAAGGTCAAGCTCATTTTTTTTAAATGCGCCTTCGGTGATTTATCAAGAGATAACTTGGGTCAAATTGTGAGGCATGTTATTGAGGCATGGTTAACTTCTTGCACTAATTGTCACGTCAATGTGATTTCTCATTCTTTGAGAGCAATTTTGCACACCAAATTGAGGGGTAAAATCTTTGCACTTTCACACCTAAACAATACGACCTCTCAATTAGCTACTGCAATTGCAGAGTCTGAAAACAGTTTTCCTTAAGTTTAAATGAATATGTTCAAAAATTTTCTTCAAAGACATAAAGGAAGTTATAAGTCGTTCTTGAAATCAAAGAGTGCAAAGACGTAGAATAAAATGGTAAAGGTCAGAATGAAATGAGTTAAACAAATGAAAAAGTAAATCTTTTTTTTAAAAAACTACGAAAATCAGATTGTAAAAATTTGGTTTCAGTTCAATGGGTGGGAATTTTGATGCAATAATCAAAATTACTATTGATTTTAACAAAAATTGCTATTATTAGTTGATTTAACCAAAACTTCTGTATGTGTACATATACGAAATTTTTTGGTCCGGCAACGCATTGGCTCCCTTCACGTTCAAAATTTCAGTGGTCATTCAGTAAAATCTCCCGTTCCCGTGGTGTACGCCCCGATACTAATATTTGCCAGCTTAACAGCCATTGTCTGCAAGGTTGGATTATCTTTTTCTGCATCTTATGAAACTTCTCAAAACATATGTGGGTATTTTGACTAACAAACCAAAATTTTTGTTGCTTTCAACCAAAAATGATATATATTTATTATATGTATGTGTACATATTTTAAACTTTTTACAATGTGTACATGTTTTGTCAGAAAACGTATTGACTCCCTGGACGTTCAAAAAACCTAAGGTTATCAGTAAAATCTCCTATGCTTGCGGTATACGCCTTGCTACTTAATTTTTACCGGGTGGTCCAATAAATAACTTACCATATCATAAACGTAGCTTGCGCTTTGTTCATGGCGCAGCCTGTAAAAGGACCACTGGACCCAAAGAATTCGCTAAATATAACTAGTTTTTGGGATGGTCCGACGGTGCAACTACCCATGGAATGGAATAAATGGAGCATTAGCTTGAAACTGCCACTGTTTGCGAAAATTGGAGAATGGTTGATTAAATCACTAATGTCAAAACCGATAGAAATGACGTTACCGCCTACTTAATAATTTCTGCTGAAAAAACTGGCCACACCTAGAATAAGCACAAAATTAAATGGTTACTGAAGGAAGAGAAGCAAAAACGGGTCACAGAAATTCGAAAACGGGTCAAAGTCAAGTTGAAAATGGCCGAAGAAACGAGTTGAAATTCAGCAAATGACATATCAACTTGATTTTATTACTTGAAATGAGTGTACCATTTTCAAAAAATGAGTGTACCTTCCCGTAACCTTCATTTTACGCTGCAACTTCTGATTTTACTAGAATGCAATATGGACCAGTTATTATAAGATTATAAAATTAGTCCATGTGCAAAGGTTCGTTACAACCGGTCGAAACGAACCAACGTTTCTCTTTGAGCAATCTAAGGGCGGGGAAGGAAAAAGAGCAAAAGCAAAATAAGAGAACGATCGTAGCGTACCTAGCAAGCAATCTCCGTGTTTTGTGTCACAACTACTAGTGTAGAGTGGACTCCCGTCATCCTGGAAGCAAATGTTAGTTCCTTTAGTGATGGGATCCACGCAGATGAGGTACGGTGGACAAAAATCAGTCTGCCAAATGTTCGAGTACAAGAACTTGGACTCGTAAAAATTGGCTTCCACCAGGGTTGCAGGGAATGTTCTGCTCTTCTCCATTTTCTTATCACTCTAATTTTCTTTCTGACGATGAAACTACACTTTTTGTGAATAAATTGCAAAATATTTTTTAGTTTTTTGGATACCAGAAATCACTCCTGATGGAAGTACTAGAATACTTTGAGATTTTCCGTTCCGCCCCCAGAGCCGAGAGAATTTTTGTTATCCACGAGGAAACATTCCGAAATTGAAATTATACTCCAAGTAACTCTATAGAACAATCAACCGTTTTTCTCGACACAATGATTTCAACTGATTGTTAAGTGCAATTTTTAGGTCAGCAAACTGAATTTGTGGAGCTTTTAGACCAAAGAATGGTCGCAGACATTTTTTGAAAATAAATTGCTTTTTGAGCAGTTTTGGAAGAAATAGGCCTAAAAAGTTTTTTGTGTAACTGAACGTAGCTAAGATTTGTACATAGATCGTGATGATTTTTTTGGTTGTTTTATTCAGTTAAAAGTCTCAAGAATTGCTCGTGCTTAAATTTTTTTTGCCCTTTGGTTTTCGATTTCTTTTCAAGTTTATTTCTTTTTTGTTGAAAGGAAGTCAAACTCCACTATTGAACAGCAAAAATAAAAAGGTCAAGACAAACGTGGGTAACTTTAAGTTTCCAACGCTGATTTTAATGGTCAGATTTCCAGCAAAAATTTTAAATTTTACATATTGATCCAGCTTCCTCAAATCGGGCTAAATTTATCGAAAAATGCCAATCAGAAACTCTTCTTGAAATCCAACGAGCTTTAAGGGCATGTATTCTTATCTTAGAAATTCGAAAGTTCAGAAAACAAGTCAGTTTTTTAGTTTTTGTCTGTTTATTTGAGTTCATTGGCACTTTTAACTGTCTGTTGGCTTTGTTTTTTTTTATTGGAGGGTCCTCCTCTTTCAAAATTAATAGAAATTGACGCTAAATGAGCGATTAGAACTTTTTACGGTCGGTAAATAGCACTCGTACAGTAGTACTAAAGGTGGCTTTTATTGTGTTAGGAAGCTCATTTCGACAGAGCAACGCCATATCTAATTTTTCAATGTTAAGCTGTGAGGAGGGAGAGGAAAATGGAGAAGATTGAGTCCTGAATTTGGTAGAAGTGACTCCTAGTCCACTCATGCGCACATGTGTTCCATGATCCACTTCACTCCTGCATATTTTAATGATCCTATCATGCGAGACAGGCTCCGCTTGGAAGGCATCAAATAATTTCTACAATTTTCAATCTCAGTTTTCGCTCCAACCACCAAAAGTGTAGAGCAACTTTGAATTCAGGTGTTTTTCACACAAATTCAGGTGCAACAAGTCAGCATCAGATTGCGTGTCGAATGGTATTTCTAATTAAAGCCATCTCAAAAAATCAGCCTTTTAATCAATCATTTGTATTATTTTCAAGGAAAAATTGATCTTCATTGAAATGAAGTTTTCAGGCTCCTCTGAGTTTTTCAGACTTTTCATAAAAGCAAAAACGAAGACCAGCTTTTCTGTACACTTATGGAATTATTTTTTGAAATTCTTTCAACCACTCAAATCACGACTGAATTTTTTTTATTATCGAACCTCACTTGACCCACCCCCCGTGTAAGCGTTGAAGCTTTCTTTGAAATAACTTGTCCAGTTGAGAGCAGTTGGAACAACAAGATTGGTCGATTGCTCTGCACAAGGCACAGAATCTTCCAGTTACAGTTTGCAGAAAAATTTATCCTTTTTTTCGGTTTTCGAAATTTCATTGTTTTTCGGGTAGTAAAAAAACTTTACTAGCTTAATACAAAATACCGGTGGCTTTAGAATGATTGCTTAAACGTATGATTAGAATAGCGTACCAATTTAAGAGTGAAAGAGGTCAAACTGAAATTGGTTAGAAAAGTTCTTCGCTCTACAGATTTAATTCTTACAGCAATGCTCAGAACAAGCTTTTCTTTCAGTTCTGTTCATATTTGAAACAAGTTTTTGCCAGTTTGACTGAAATAAAGAAATCGAAACAAATTTTTTTTTTTTTTTTTAATTTTCTCCATTTTTTTCTCAAGAATTTTCTCTTTGAATAAAGAAACAGTCTGATATAGTTCTAAAAGGCCGTGGAATGAAGATCAGACTGGCCAAAATATAGTAAAAGTACTCTAGTGAAAGTAAATTGTGGATATTCAGCCTCTTAGCAAGTTTCGTCTACATTATCTGAAAACGAAAAAGTTTTTCTCGTCACTGATTGAAATTTTTTGAAATTGTTTTTGGAATCAGAATCACGACCATTAGAGCGTTAATTGGCAGTTGGGAAAAACTGATAGTTCAGGCATGCATTAGCAATATTCCAGCTTCTGATTCGAAACCATCTGGTTGGTTTATTATTTGTTATGTTTGAGCTAAAGTTTTTTTGTTTTCGTTTTTTAAATGGTCATTTAGGAACATTTTGTTCTTCTTGAATGGAAGGAAAGCAGCACTAAATGGGAATTTCTGGTCGGACTAAAACTTTTTTGCAAAGAAAGCTTCGACGCTTGGTTCATAGAACTCTGCAGAAACTATGATATGTCTTCGACATCAGTGGTTTAACTTGAACCAAATGGGTTCACTGGTCTCTGTGTTTCGTTCGTGTTGCCCCAAAAGGCTGTAGCTGATGATAAAAAAGATAGATTCAATTATTTGATGCCTAGTTTGACTAGTGCGATGTCGTTGCGAGGATGGTTTCCATACTGGTTGAACCTAAACAGTTCATTTTTCAAAATCCTTTAAAAAGGTGCAGCATGCGTGGAACTGATTGCACTATTAGGGCCTTTACTACTATTACATTGCCCGATTATTTAGCCGAATAATCAGATATCCAATTTTCAGAATCGTAAACCAGGTAGTTGTGTAGTAATGTGACTTCTAAACTCTAATATCAGAAATCGGCCTCGGCCTAAAATGCCTTTAGACTTTCCGACTTGATGATTTTTACGTCAGTAGCAGATTTGGGGGCGGGGGAGGGGCAGCCTTCGGGGGAGCGCGCCAAAGAACTCGTTTTTGTGCAATAATTTCCCTGCTGCGCAGAAAATATTGTCAAATTAGGCTCTATATAGTCATTTGCGAGAGCTCAAAAAATCAAATTGTTCGACCTAAAAAAAGGTAGACAAAGTTTTCGAACTGTTTTGTGAAATTCCCCCTCTCGCGAGGAAATCCTAGATCCCTCCCCCCACGTTATAGTATCACGGCTTACGTTATCGTATCACCTCTATCGGATTCCGATGTTCTTATCAACGACAATTTTTAATAGTTTGGCATGCACTCAATTTTCCGATGGAACGTTCAGCTGAATGTTGTGCCAATTAATTGGGCTTTAACATTGCTTTTTTTGATCTCCATTCATCAGCAAATGAATAAGTTTGTCGGTCCAAGTGATTGAGAAAGAAACAAGCAGTTTTACTCACCCTTCTGCCAAGAACACTTCTGAGTGAGGAATTGATCTGCGATAACCTCCGTCTGATGAAAAATCACCCACACAAATCTCGAAATTCGTGACTAAAACAAGCAGAGCTTCAGATCAAGTTAACATAAACGCTCCACTTTTTTTTTAAAAAAAATTGCATATCCAGAAATCTAACTAAAAAATGCTCATTCGGAAATCTCGGTTGTATCGGTTTTATGTGGTTTTGAAGTTATTGTCGGTTTGTAGTTGTCGTTTGGTGCATTTAAGGACTCTAACATGGGCAACTTTGTTTTTCGATATCTTATTTCGACAAACATATAAATGTATGTTTTTTTTCGACAGCTTTGATTTTTGAAAATCAATTCGGTGACTTCCATGTTTGTTTGCTAGTATGATATCGGCTTTGTGTTTGTCTTGGAGTATTAAGCCTTTTGAGCCTTTTATTGAATAATTTTAAGACCAGTGGTTTCATGTGAAATATGGATATTTTGATAACCCACAAATTCGAGAAATTTGGATTGTATCAGGTTCAAATTTAGAATACTTGAGTTTGATTTAACTTGCCTCCATTAATTTTATTGCAAAAATTGTGCACTACCCTCTCCTCCCCTTCACATCTGGACAAACCATTTCCACCAAAGGGTTCTCACATTTAGCTAACTCGTACTATACTGATTTTTGAAGGTCAAGCTCATTTTTTTTAAATGCGCCTTCGGTGATTTATCAAGAGATAACTTGGGTCAAATTGTGAGGCATGTTATTGAGGCATGGTTAACTTCTTGCACTAATTGTCACGTCAATGTGATTTCTCATTCTTTGAGAGCAATTTTGCACACCAAATTGAGGGGTAAAATCTTTGCACTTTCACACCTAAACAATACGACCTCTCAATTAGCTACTGCAATTGCAGAGTCTGAAAACAGTTTTCCTTAAGTTTAAATGAATATGTTCAAAAATTTTCTTCAAAGACATAAAGGAAGTTATAAGTCGTTCTTGAAATCAAAGAGTGCAAAGACGTAGAATAAAATGGTAAAGATCAGAATGAAATGAGTTAAACAAATGAAAAAGTAAATCTTTTTTTTAAAAAACTACGAAAATCAGATTGTAAAAGTTTTGGTTTCAGTTCAATGGGTGGGAATTTTGATGCAATAATCAAAATTACTATTGATTTTAACAAAAATTGCTATTATTAGTTGATTTAACCAAAACTTCTGTATGTGTACATATACGAAATTTTTTGGTCCGGCAACGCATTGGCTCCCTTCACGTTCAAAATTTCAGTGGTCATTCAGTAAAATCTCCCGTTCCCGTGGTGTACGCCCCGATACTAATATTTGCCAGCTTAACAGCCATTGTCTGCAAGGTTGGATTATCTTTTTCTGCATCTTATGAAACTTCTCAAAACATATGTGGGTATTTTGACTAACAAACCAAAATTTTTGTTGCTTTCAACCAAAAATGATATATATTTATTATATGTATGTGTACATATTTTAAACTTTTTACAATGTGTACATGTTTTGTCAGAAAACGTATTGACTCCCTGGACGTTCAAAAAACCTAAGGTTATCAGTAAAATCTCCTATGCTTGCGGTATACGCCTTGCTACTTAATTTTTACCGGGTGGTCCAATAAATAACTTACCATATCATAAACGTAGCTTGCGCTTTGTTCATGGCGCAGCCTGTAAAAGGACCACTGGACCCAAAGAATTCGCTAAATATAACTAGTTTTTGGGATGGTCCGACGGTGCAACTACCCATGGAATGGAATAAATGGAGCATTAGCTTGAAACTGCCACTGTTTGCGAAAATTGGAGAATGGTTGATTAAATCACTAATGTCAAAACCGATAGAAATGACGTTACCGCCTACTTCAATCGAAGAACCTTCTGTAGATGACGAAATGGTTACGAATACTAGAGATCGTTTTATTCGAAACACACAACCTAGAACACGCGGTAGAAAAAGCTGGTTAGCTTTTTTTAAATTGGCTGGCATTTTTTAAATGATTCGGCTTTAAACTTCAATCATTTCTGTAAGTTAAATAATTTTTCGTAAAATAACTTCAACAATCGCTCATTATTTACTCATTCGTGCGGTTATATTTATGAACCTTTGATATTCACCATTATATTTTAAAAGTTTTTTGTGTGGAAATTTTAAACCGCTTTACCCCTCAATAAAAAACGCCACCGTTTCAATTATTATTTCAAACTTTGGGCTTCTGAGGCAGATAACCTTGACGCTCAGGCCTTGATTTTACCAGAAAAATGACGAAAATTGATTAGCATGGGGATTATTGATTAGCATGGGAATTTTTATTAGCATGAGTTCGATCAGCAGTTGTGCATTGAAAAGAGTGGTAGTTCTGAAGTTTAAACGAATATGTTCAAAACTTTTCTTCAAAGACATAAATGAAGTTATAAGTCGTTCTTAAAATCAAAAAGTGCAAAGACTTAGGATAAAATGGTAAAGATCAGAATGAAATGAGTTAAACAATTAAAAAAGCAAAAACTTTTTTGATGAGAAGTTTTTGCTCTAAAAAATCGAATTTCTTAAAAAACTACAAAAATCAGATTGTAAAAGTTTTGGTTTCAGTTCATTGGGTGGGAATTTTGATGCAATAATCAAAATTACTGTTGAATTTAACAAAAATTGCTATACATAGTTGAATTAACCAAAACATCTGTATGTGTACACATACTAAATTTTTTGGTCCGGCAACGCATTGGCTCCCTTCACGTTCAAAGTTTCAGTGGTCATTCAGTAAAATCTCCGGTTCCCGTGGTGTACGCCCCAATACTAATCTTTGCCAGCTTAACAGCCATTGTCTGCAAGGTTGGAGTATCTTTTTCCGCAACTTATGAAGCTTCTCAAAACATATGTGCGAGAAAACAGCCCATCACAAAAAAAATTCTTGAAGTAGACGAAGTCATCAAGCATTTCAGCTTCAAACACATTTTCAGCTTCAAACTTTCTGTACGTTGAATAAGAAATATTAACACTCGCTCATTCGTTTATATATATTTTTGCACCCTTGATATTCTCCATTTTATTTTGAGAGGGTGATTTTTTTTGTGAAAAATTTAAAACCGCCCTTCCCCTCATTCAAAAATCTGCGTAGGCCACCGCTTCGATTATTATTTCAATGTTTCGGCTTCTTAGGCGGATAACCTGGACGCTCAGGCATTGATTTTACCAGAAAAATGACGAAAATTGATTAGCATGGGCATTATTGATTAGCATGGGGATTTTGATTAGCATGAGTTCGATCAGCAGTTGTTCATTGAAAAGTGTGGTAGTTCTGAAGTTTAAATGAATATGTTCAAAAATTTCCTTCAAAGACATAAAGGAAGTTATAAGTTGTTCTTGAAATCAAAGAGTGCAAAGACGTAGGATCAATGGTAAAGGTCAGATTGAAATGAGTTAAACGAATGAAAAAATAAAACTATTTTGATGAGAAGTTTTAGCTCCAAAAAATCGAATTTCGTAAAAAACGACGAAAATCAGATTGTAATAGTTTTGGTTTCAGTTCAATGGGTGGGATTTTTGATGCAATAATCAAAATTATTGTTGATTTTAACCAAAATTGCTATGTGAAGTTGATTTAACAAAAATTTCAGTATGTGTTCATATATTAAGTTTTTGAAAAAGAGTATATATTTGGTCCAGCAACTCCTCGGCCCCCTCAATGTTCAAACAACGTAAAGTCCTTGAGTACAATCTCCTATGCTCGTGGTATACGTCCTGATATTCAGATTTGCCAGCTTAGCAGCCACTGTCTGTGCGTTCGAAGGCTATTTTTCTGCAGTTTTTGAAGCTTTTCAAATTATGTATGCGAGAAAACAGGCTATCCCATTTGCTTTTTTCTACTGAAAAAAAATTCTTGAAAGAGAAAAGTCATTAAAAATTTTGGCTTCATTTACTGATCCTTCTGTAAGTTGAATTTTTTTCGTAAGAAACTGCAACAACCGCTCTTTCGTTATTCATTCGTGTGTATATGTTTTTGCACCCTTAATATTCTCCATTCCTACTTGATTGGATGATTCTTTTGGTAAAAAATTGAAATCGCTTTTGCCCCTCAATGAAAACTCTGCAAGCGCCACCTCGTCAAATTTTATTTTAAAAGTTCGGCCTTTGAGGCAGATGAACTTGATTCTATTTTTATTATTTTATTTACATATATAAATCTACATCCGAATCTCAATCAGCATTTGTTCATTGAAAAGTGTGTTAATTCTTTGAAGATTATACGAGGGATAAGGGAAGTTTTGATTCCTAGGATTATAGGGTAGGATAAAACAGAATAAAAAGATAAATGTTTGAATAAGATTATTTAAATAAGGAAATTAATAACAAAGTTTAAAAACAAGTTTTAGTACTAAAATTCACTTCAAAATTACTGTTTCAAGTATCGAAGAATTATCAGGTTTATTTCTTCGAAATTCAGAAAAGAAACAAAATCAGATCGTTGAATTTTGATTTGAACTCAGTGTGTGGGCATTTTGATTAAATAACCACAATTTCTGTTGTTTTTAATCAAAAATCTTATTTTTATAATTACATACATTTATATATATATATATAAATATAGAATGGGTTCATTGAAAAGTGTGTTAATTCTTTGAAGATTATACGAGGGATAAGGGAAGTTTTGATTATATATATATATTTATATCTCAGGCGAAATGCCTCACAGGAATAAGGGTGAAAAAATTTGCCGAAGATAATAAAATAGAAATGTTGGTATCGACGGTGGTTGATCACCGCGCGTCAAGATAAGTAGA